CGTCTCTAGTATATGTGCTCTTATAACTCATCAACAAGAAGTCAAGGAACTCGATTAAAAAATAGCCAAAAGGCCGGGTGCAGTGGCTTACACTGGTAATCTCAGGATGTTGGGAGGCCAAGGCTGCTGGATCACTTGAGGTTGGAAGTTCGAGCCCAGCCTAGGCAACCTGATGAAACCCACCTCTACTAAAAATACAATAATTAGCAGGGCACAGTGGCAGGTGCATGTCATCCCAGGTACTTGGGAGGCTGATGCAGGAGAATTGATTGAATCCAAGAGGCAGAGGTTACGATGAGCTGAGCTCATGCCACTGCACTCTAACCTGGGTGACAGAACAAGTCTCTGTCTCAAAAAAGCATGGGGTGGGGGTGGAAAGACAAGCTTTTCTCCAAAGAAATACACAGACAACAAGCACACAAAAAGCTACTTCAGGTCATTAACCATTACAGAGATGTAAGTGAAAACCACAAGGATGTACCACCTCACACCCAGTAGAATGATGTGTTAGCTTACCAAACAAATAAAAAAACAAAGAAAAGTAAGTATTAGTAAGAATGTGGAGAAACGAACCCTCAAACATTGCTGGTGGGAATATAAAATGGTACAGCCATTTTATGTTTGAAAGAATTTGGCAGTTTCTCAAAAAGTTAAACATAAAATTGCCATATGACCCTGTAATTCTACTACTAGGTGTATACCCAAATATGTGAAAACAGGTACTCAAACAGGTACTTGTACAGCAATATCCATAGCAACATTATACACAGGAGCCAAAAAGCAGAAACAGCTCAAATGTCCATCAATGGATAGACAAATTGTAGTGTACAGATGATCCTCAACTCATACTGGGGTTATATCCTGATAAACTCATTGTAAGTTGAATGTATCCTAAGTTGAGAATGTATTTAATACACTTAACCAATCAAATATCACAGCTTAGCCTAGCCTATCTTAAATGTGCTCAGAACACTTACATTGGCCTCAGTTGGGCAAAATCATCTAACACAAAGCCTAGCTTATACTAAAACACTGAATATCTCATGTAATTATTGAATACCGTACTGAAAGTGAAAACCAGAATGGCTGTACAGGTACGCAAAGTACAGTTTCCACTGATTGCACTATTATTTTTGCATCATCATAAAGTTGAAAAATCTTAAGTTGACCCATTATAAATCAGTGATCACTTATATACACACGGTGGAATATTATTTGGCTATAAAGAGAATGAAGTACTGATATATGCTACAATTTGGATGAATATACAAAACAGTATGTTAAGTGAAAGAGGCCAGATATAAAAGGTCACATATCATATGATTCTATTTATATAAAATATCCAGAATACATAAATTCATACAGACAGGATAAATCCAGACTGGTGAATTTAGAGTCAAATTGGTGGTTGCTAGGGGCTGGAAGGAGGGAGAAGGATAGAGACAAAGTGCCTACCAGGCAAGGGGTTTTACTTTGGGGTGAAGAAAATGTTTTGGAACTAGACAGAGGTGTTAGTTGCTCAATATTGTAAATGTACTAAATGCCACTACATGTTCACCTTAAATGGTTAATTTTATGTTATGTGAATTTATCTCCAAAAATTATTAAAACACATACACAAACCATAAGTTAAATAAATTAAAGAACAAATAGGAGAGATACAACTAAGGTTAGGTGGCCATAAAATTTCCTAGGAAAATAAGGCTCATGTTCTTTGTTATGACAGAATTTGTGATTTTTAAGACACAATAACCTGTGACTTTTATAAGCTCGTACCCCCTAAATCTGAAAACTGTGTAAAGATAAGGAATAGAAAGACTTGAAGCTGGCTACTATCATGTGATATTTGGAGTTTATGATTAGTGTAGTTGATGCTGTGGTGTGCCAAGAAGATCCTCCTTTATGATGAAAAAATTCACTTCCCAGCTGCCATGCAAGTCGCCTGCTGATGATTCCATAATTACATTCCTCTCTTGAAATTTACCTTGGCTGGCTGTGTGTGCTTCTTCACCCAAATTTACACCCCTTCTCAGGGGCACATTCAATCACTTGTCAGTGAAGGACTACAATAATACATTTTATACATGGCAGTGCTATGTTCTAGGGATAAATCAATGAACATGATGGTGATGATCTCTGTCCTCCGGACCCAGAGGTAGTTATATAAGTAATTAGAATAAAATATGTTAAGTGATGTGATAAGAGCACACACAAATGTGACTTAACTTGGTCTTGTGACAGGCTCAGGGAAGGCTTCCTAGAAAACATGTCTACCATGATTGCATATTTAGAAAACCCCACCATCTCAGTCCAAAATCTCCTTAAGCTGATAAGCAACTTCAGCAAAAGTCTCAGGATACAAAATCAATGTGCAAAAATCAAAAGCATTCCTATACACCAATAACAGAGAGCCAAATCATGAGTTAATTCCCATTCACAATTGCTACAAAGAGAATAAAATACTTAGGAATCCAACTTAGAAGGGATGTGAAGGGCGTCTTCAAAGAGAATTACAAACCACTGTTCAATGGAATAAAAGAGGACATGAACAAATGAAAGAACATTCCATGCTCATGGATAGGAAGAATCACTATTGTGAAAATGGCCATACTGCCCAAAGTAATTTATAGATTCAGTGCCATCCCCATCAAGTTACCAATGACTTTCTTCACAGAATTGGAAAAAACTACTTTAAAGTTCATATGGAACCAAAAGAGAGCCCACATTGCCAAGACAATCCTAAGCAAAAAGAACAAAGCTGGAGGCATCATGCTACCTGACTTCAAACTATACTACAAGGCTACAGTAACCAAAACAGCATGCTATTGGTACCAAAACAGAGAGATAGACCAATGGAACAGAACAGAGCCCTCAGAAATAACACTACACATCTACCACCATCTGATCTTTGACAAACCTGAGAGAAACAAGAAATGGGGAAAGGATTCCCTATTTAATAAATGGTGTTGGGAAAACTGCCTAGCCACATGTAGAAAGCTGAAACTGGATCCCTTCCTTACACCTTATACAAAAATTATTCAGGAGATGGATTAAAGAGCGGAAATGGAACCTAAAAACCATAGACAATCGCCTAGAAAGAAAAACCTGAGGCAATGATTCAGTTCCAGGACATAAGGGCATGGGCAGAGGACTTGCAGGTCTAAAACACCAAAGCAATGGCCAAAACAGCGCCAAGCATCTTTGGTGCAAATCGTATCTATAATATCTATAGATATAATATGACTTCGGTCACTTAGCAAAAGGATTTATACATCATCATGGATTGTGATTATAAGGCTAATGTCCGTTACTGATTATGGTGGGAAGAAAATTTTTGCAATCTACCCATCTGACAAAGGGCTAATATCCAGATGTACAAAGAACAGAAACAAATTTACGAGAAAAAATCAAATAACTCTATCAAAAAGTGGGCAAAGGATATGAACAGACGCTTCTCAAAAGAAGACATTTATGCAGCCAACAGACACATGAAAAAATGCTCATCATCACTGACCATCAGAGAAATGCAAATCAAAACCACAATAAGATACCATCTCATACCAGTTAGAATGGCAATCATTAAAAAGTCAGGAAACAATAGGTGCTGGAGAGGATGTGGAGAAATAGGAACACTTTTACACTATGGGTGGGAGTGTAAACTAGTTCAACCATTGTGGAAGACAGTGTGGCGATTCCTCAAGGATCTAGAACTAGAAATACCATTTGACCCACCAATCCCATTACTGGGTACATACCCAAAGGATTATAAATCATGCTGCCATAAAGACACATGCCCTCGTATGTTTATTGCAGCACTATCCACAATCGCAAAGACTTGGAACCAACCCAAATGTCCATCAATGACAGACTGGATTAAGAAAATGTAGCACATATACACCATGGAATACTATGCAGCCATAAAAAAGGATGTTCATGTCCTTTGTAGGGACATGGAAGAAGCTGGAAACCATCATTCTCAGCAAACTATCGCAAGAACAGAAAACCAAAGGAAAAGAAGTCATTATATGAAAAAGACACATGCACACACATGTTTATAGCAGCACAATTTGCAACTGCAAAGAGATGTAAACTATCTAAGTGCCCATCAACCAATGAGTGGATAAAGAAAATGTGGTATATATACACCATGGTCTACTACTCAGCCATAAAAAGGAATGAAATAATGTCTTTTGCAGGAACTTGGATGGAACTGGTGGCCATTATTCTAAGAGAGGTAACTCAGGAATGGAAAACCAAGTATCATATATTCTCACTTATAAGTAGGAGCTAAGCTATGAGAATGCAAAGTCATAAGAATGATATAATGGACTTTGGGGATTTGGGGGTGGGGGTGGTGAGGAAGGGGAGTGAGGGATACAAGACTACATATTGGGCTCTGTATACTAATCAGGTGATGGGTGTACCAAAATCCCAGAAATCACCCCTAAATAACTTATCCATGTACCCCAAAACTACCTGTACCCCAAAAACTGTTGAAATAAAAATTAAAAAAATTATCTATGAACATAGTTACTTTTATTTAAAGTAGATGGAAAAAACCCTAGAGTCAGAAACTCTTGTTTTTCCCCCACACTCTAACTTGAACATAACTTTGCAGAGTATTCATTAATTTTTTCTTGTTATTATAAGCAAAAAGGAGAGGCTAAACTTCAACCAAACAATTGACCCCAAATACAACAGATTTTAAGAGAAAATGTGTATCCTTTAGCCTGAAGTAGATTCTTTCAACAAACAGTAAGTTTTTTTTTTATGCTAACATAATCCTAAATTTGTAATAATTTCAATGTGACACTGGTAGGACCAGCAGGTTTCCATGCAAAATCATCAGCTACAATTACAAAATATTTTTTATGTTTGTAATGAAAAGCAGAAGCAATACCAAAATACTTAGGTTGGTTGGACATGCTAAAGATTATATCACCAACTGTTCTGGCAATGAAGTATTAGAAAGAGTAGAAAATTTCTCAATCATTTCCTACCTGCTGGCCATATTCCACTCAAGGGCTGGATTTTGAGAATTCCTTTCAGTCTCTGTTAGCACCCCTCCTGAGACACTTTCCTTCTCTGGTTTTAGTTGATCCCATTGTGCAGTACCAATATTGATAGACTGCAGGTCTATTTGGTATTGTCTGTCTTCAATTTCTGATCCAGGATCTCGAAGAATTCCTAAGTTCAAGGCTCTCCTGTAAAGGCAGTGAAAAAAACAAAAACAAAAACAAGAAAACAGATAAAATAACCATTCTATATTTATTTTGTTCACTAACATATTGTCAATACCATTTTTTTCACTGTGGATTACTGATGAATAAACTGGGGCACATCTATGAAAAAGGTTTCAGAAAGTTAGCTCATATTATGACTTGAAAACATATCCAAAACTTATCACTTAGAGTAATCTACACTACAATGACTTCTTACGTTATTCCTGGCACGTTACTCTTTTTCTAAGTACTTTCACATACATGATTTCAATCCCTGAGATGCTCTGAGGTTCTATTTTATGTCCATTTTTACCAATGAAAAAATAATTCAGAGAGTTTGAAAGATAGCTAAAGTTACAAAATTAGTATGGGACAAAACTACAACACAAATACGAGGTTTTTTGTTTTGTTTTGTTTTGTTTTACTCAAAACCCTTTCCCTTGCTAATCATCTACTTTCCTCTGAACTTTGATTTCTTGTTAGGAAAGGTAATGGAGCCTTCTTAATCTATTTCACTCCCTCAACCCTTGCTCTTCATTCTTTATATAACCCAAATGTAGTGTTGAGAAATGACAAGGTTTCTGATGTAGAGTAACAGTGAGGTTTACTGCCCCATATAGAGTTGGAACATACAACGTTGATCCTACTGGGTCCACTGCTAAGTAAATGAATAAAATAATCTGTAAAGCTAAATCAAAGGAAGTAAATAGATAAAAATTTTCATGAAGGTTTTAAAGTAAAATAGAAAGGCAGTAAGGTAGGGTGGGAAGCACAAAGTTTGAGAGCCAGAGAAAACTTAAGTGTGCCTGAATTTGGGACCTTTTTCTTATGTTAAGTTTTGTTGGTTCAGAAAAGTTTTAAAGTAGATGATCAAAAGAAAAATAGTATTTGGTCCCCATAAAAGTTTTTATCAGCAGAAAAGCTTAAATAACAAAGTGAATAAAAGTAGCCTTACTAGTAGAAATATTTTTTAAAGTTTCAATTACAGGCATTAGAAAAAATACAATTAAGTTAATTACATCAGTTGAACGCTAATGAAACTTATTATTCGGAGGTGATGGGGGGAGTGTTGGGTCCTAGTGTGAAAAGTACAGAAAAAGGCACAATCTGATTCGGTTTTTGCTTTGGTTGACTAAGAAGGTGTGGAGGTCAGAATAAGCACTCCCAGAGGCTGGTTAAACGATAATGGACAGTGAATGACTACTCAGACTCAAGAGAGCAGGTGTCTGGGCCAGCTGCTCAGGACTGGGCCAGGCAAGGTGAGGGCTGATATTAATTAATTCAAGTGAAGAGAGAAGCAAGGAGCAGACATGAGTGGAATAAGCAAGCAGCTCAGGTAGTGAGACGTCCCAGGGAGTTATGAATGGGGGAAAGGGGAACAAATAGCCAGTGATCAACAAGCCATAGCAGGAGCCAGAGAAACTGAGGATAATTCTCATGATTCCTAAGGTAGGAGCTGGATCTGTTTCTTCTCCTTTTTAACTTAGAAAAATTGCAGGAAAAGTGACCTAAAATTTTACACAAACTCAAGAACTGCATTAGAAACAGGGCTTATAAGTGGGCCATTAATCCTTTCAATTTGTCTTAAAGAGAAAAGGAATGAATGACAGTGGGGGTAGGAAGGAGAGGCATTTTGAGAGTCTCTCTGTAGAAGAATGTTCTAGTTTCATTTAAATATTGGTGTAATTCTGTTAATTCTTAAAAGGCCCAGCTCAGCTATCATTTTTTTAATGAAGCCTTTCCTGATCACCCTTCCTCCAAACTCCCTCCTTCCCAAATCTGTGTTCTTAGGGTCTCTCTATACTTGTAAATACAATAATACCACATTGACTTATCAGTCTTCCCAAATATGCCAAACATTTCTTGAAGTCAGGAACTATCTATACTATCTAGCAATAGGTAAATGCTGTTTCAGTTCACTGATGTGAACTGACATAAATCTTTACAAATCTCAGGTGGAGAACGTATCTGTACATAGCAATAAGAGCACATAGTCTTTAAAACACTAAACTTTTGAATCAGGGCCACATAAATTCTCATCGCCAGCAAATATCTGAGGCAGTTGATGGCCTAACCTATTTCCCTAGATTATTACTCCCCATATAAACATTACTTTTACTTATTTTAAAACAGTCAATGCTCTGTACATTTTAAATAAACTCCCTAAACATATTTTTAAGGTGAACTAAAATACTTTAAGAATGCCTTTGAAGGAAAAAAAAAGAAAACAAAATTAGTGCTATATTAAAAGACAAATCAACCTAATCCCAATGTAAACAACCGTTTTCCTATTTCTCTTGACACATGGAAAAACTGTATAATTACAAGATTACGATCACAAAAACACCGAGTTTCATTAGAGTTTTCATTGCATTCAGGCTTGAAATTTCCCATTTTTTTTGGGGGGGGGGGCTTAAATTAAGCTATATTTCTCCTGTCATCATTTGTTGACAACATGATTTCCCACAGGTTCTTCTTCCCTATGCAATACTTTCTATTTTGAGTGATAGCCAGATACTTCCAAAAATGTAATTTTCAAATTTAAAACTTTTAGGGATCAGGATTAGTACTTCTACATTTTTTCTTATTGCTTGCTTTTAAAATTAAGTTATATATTTGATATATTGACATATATGTGACATATTTGATTTGAAAAAATTCAGAGTAATTTATAATATTTGAGGATATAAATCCAACTTAAAAGTTAATTGCAAAACCTTCCAAATCTCAGCTGGGGAAAGTAGGATAAGCAGTTGATTTATGTGAGTTTTAGTCTCAGACTTTCCAATGATCATGAGCTTGCAGAAATTATTTAACTTCCCTGTGCTTTAGTTATTTTGGTATAAGGACTATTATAAAGATAAATAAAATATATGTGTAATTGAAAAACTATTCATAAAGTACCTTATAAGTTTTATGACTATTATGGAAGTATATTATCTTATATGATTTTGAATGAGCAGCATATTTAAATCACCAACTAATCACAAATGCACAAGTATCAAGATAAAACCAAATCCACTTCTCTATGAATGAACTGCAAAGAAAACGATACAGATAAATGTTCCTTAACATTCCTACTATCACCTATTTCTGAATATGGCATATTAGAAACTCTGAATGAACCTCCTAGCTCTAATAACCAAATTGCTTTAAAAAAATTTAAAGTATTTTTTCAGACACATCCTGGAGCCAACACCAATAACAGAAAAACAGAAACTGGAAAGTCTTCCAAATAATGTGAAACCAGGAACCATGATAAATAAGCACCTGCCAAAGCTGCCTTTTACTCTACAGTTTTCTGCTAAATCCTGCAGACACTGATTTTCTGCTCTGTTAACTGCACAGGAGGAGAGGCAGCTCAGGGCTCACGCAAATGATCAATCTGTTTAATAGAAGACAATTCACATAAAGCTGAGATTACCAAGGGTCACCAGCAGTGAAAGGGTGAATTAGAAAGAGCACTTCTAGGGAGTTCTGTGGTGATAGGACAGTTCTGCATCTTGATTGTGATGGTGGTTACATGAATCTACATGTGAAAAAATTACATAGAGCACTATATACATTAACACAAATAAGTGCATGTAAAACTGGCAGAATCTGAATACAGCTGTGTATTGATTGTACTGATGTCAACTTCCTGGTCTTGATATTGTACTATAGTTACACAAGACGTTTCTATTGAGAGAAACTGGGTAAAGTGCACACAGAACTTCTCCAAATAATTTTTTGTAATTCTTTATGAGTCTATATTTCAAAATATATTTTTAAAGCAACAGTCCTCCTCATGCTCATGTAGAAACAGACAAGGCAATTTATCAACTTACCTGTCTTTACCTTACTAATGGGTAAAGAGGAAAACAAACAAACAAACAAACAAACACAAAACCCAAACCAAAAAACAATGCTCCAAGATTTTGCAATCATGAGCTAGCACTTGGAAGTTTGGGTCTCAAATATGTGATGAACAAAAAATTCTGTCTGGAGAGTCTTGCTCCAGGTAGACAGTGCTGCCAGATGACAGGCAAAGGCAAAAGTAAAAGCACAATATCTTGGGATGAAATCAATTTCAACTCAAAGCTCTTCCACAGATCAGGTTCCAAGTGAAATGAGACACTCACAGACAAAATTCACAATTCACACAACAGCAGAAGCAATGGACAGACTAGCAAATATAAAATACAAAATAATTATTTAAAAAGTAAAAAAGCATCTTCAAAATAAGAGCAGGGAACAAGACTTAACAAAAACAAAAACAAAAAAACTCAAGCATGCCCAGCTTGAGTGATAGTGAATAAAAAGAAAGATCCAATGAAATCCAGAATGTAATCCAAAGAGACAAGGAAATACTATAAATGAAAGAAGGTTAAGATTAATGAAGAATAGAGAGAGAAAGTCTAAAAAATGCTTAATTAAAGCTTGCGGGAGGTAATACACAGAACAAGGAGGAGGCAATATTTGAAGAGATAATATCTGAGAATTATTCCACAATTATTGAAAATGCCAAGTCCTAAATCCAGGCAGCCCGAAGTATCCCAAGAAATAATCACTAGGAAGACATTGGTAAATATATGAGTAAGTGTAAACAAATATTATGTTTAAATTAATAATAATGATGTCTAAATTGTGAGGAGAAAATAGGCCAAAAATAAGACACAGGAAAATAATAGTATATAAATAACGGGACCAGATAATTTGACATAAAATGTTCTAACTTTCTTATATTGTTGAAGAAGAAGAATATTAACTTCAGACTTTTGTTAAGTACGCATGTTAACATTGCTAGAGTAGCCACTAAAATAACAGATATGGAACACATAACTTCCAAATAAATAAAAATTAGAATGTCAGAAATGAAAAACCAAAGTTGGGCAAGTAGAAAGCACACAAGAAGAAGATACAAATAAAAATCCCAACATAATAATCAGCATAAATATAGATAATGTAAACTCTCCCATTAAAAGATAAAAACTGTCAGATGGCATTTAATAAATCACAGTTAA